TGCACTTTTTCACACAGACACTCACCACACTCTATCTCTACAGCAATCTAATCGGAAAGGAGCTTAGCGCGTGTTTGAAGGAATCGATAAAACGAAATAATGAAGAAAAATAGTAACATACATTGATTTTGAAATATCATTATTGGAAAAACTAAAATTTTGCGTTGAATTTATGATGTATTTTTTTTGTCATATTGTATTTCACCTCAAGAAGAGAATAAAATATCTTGATTTTCTTAAAGTAAAAGATGGGTTACTAAACTGTTGGATTTTACGGTTGAGTCTGGCTGTGTAGATGACATGAGAGGAAAAAATATAGTTTGAATTTTAATTCGTTATCATTTATTCGTATTAATGGAATGTGGATTTCAAGATGTTGGTGATAGTTGAAAGTGTAGATGGAGTTTTGTTTTTGTGCTTTCGAAAGTATGATGATATGAATTGTGAATTTTAATTGGATCTCATCTATTATTAATAAGTCTAGTGGTTGTCTGAAGGTCTTCGTGTCAGATAAAATTAAACTTAGATTTTCGAAATTTAAATCATTAGATAGAATTGAACTTGATTGCAGTAGCAATTGATGCAGAGTAGTGAAATCGCAAATTTTATCTTTTCGATTCAAAATATATATTGTCTGTGAAATGTAGAGTTCCGTGTTTTTTTTTAAAGTTATCATTAAATTTACAAAGATGTAGAGCTCGCTAGCTGTTTTTATTTAAATTATTATTAGATTTAAGATGATCCAGAGTGAAAATAGAAGAAATCATAGTATAAAAAATGTATAAAATGTCATTAGTAATCATATTGTCTGAGATTCGTTTTCTTTTCAGTAAAGATAATAATAATAGTATTTAAATATCCGTTGTTTTCTCTTATCGAGAGCTTTATAAATGATCAGTTATATTTCATTCTCACCACAAAACGACAAGAGTTAATCCTCAAACAATTGATACTGTATGACGTTAACTAAATCAAATTCATGGAATATTGACTTTCGCAATTTTGTTTATCATCAGAGTGATATTTTGGGCTATGTCCGACCAAAAAGCAACCAAAAAGGGGAGCAGAAAAATGAAGAAATGAGGAAAAAAAATATTTCAAATATCATTAGTAATCATATTGTTTGAGAATAGTTAGTTGTTTTTATTAAAGATAATAATGGTAAAAGCTAAACATGAATGGTTTTGTTTATCCATACGTTTATAGATGATCAGCTACATTTTATTCTTAACATAGAAAGACAAGAGATAATTATCAAACAGCTGATACTATGTCATGTCAACTAAATAAAATTCATATATCATATTGACTGCTTCAATTTGTTTATTATAAGAATAATATTTCTGGCTTGTGACAGACTAAAAGTCGAAAAAAAAGGAAAAAAGGGAAAAGGGAAAAAAATTTATAAAACAAATTACTAATCATTCGGTTTGAGAACAGTATATTTTCTTAAAGATAAAAATAAAAGTTGAATATCAATTGTTCTTTATTAGCAATAAATTTACACATGATCAGTTACATGTCATACTTCGTGTAAAAGAAAAGAGATATTCATCGAACTATCAATACTATCTAATGTTTTCTTAGTAGGCATCCGATGTTTACCATTGAAATGTCGAATAATTTCTGATGTGAAAAAGAGTTTTTTTTTACTTCAGTCGGTCTAAAAATGTTACTGTTTCAAACGCGAGAAAACAAATAAATAAATACTTTATGGTTTGCTAATTATTTCTTTTATGAATAACATTTTCTGCCTGTTCGTTTAACCTCCAAAATCTATCGTATCTGTTATATCTGCGGAAAGATTATTCATACGTTCATTAATGAAGTAATCAAGTGATCTCTCGAAAGATTTGAATACAGATGATAATTAGGAATCATTTCTAAATAAAACAATACTGCAAAAACTATCCCATCCAGGGTACGGCATGTGGGTGAGTGTGGGTGTAGTATTCATTTGAAAACCACACTCTAACACATACCCTCTATTGCAACAAACATTTTCCTGCAATGCGAAACTTCATCTGGAGTACCGGCATTGATTCCTAACATACAGATAGCATGAGCAACATGACAAATTCTCTTTCTTCGTCGCCGAATTCCAGTTTCATATTCAGTACCACAAGCTATGCAACACACCGATGTACACGACAAATCGAAAATCCATCCGAATCTTCCAACTGAGAAGTGAGATAATAATCAATCATCGTGAGCAACCCACTAGAACGTTATTCAGCCTTTCGAAATTATACTGTTCACACATAATTTCTACCCAACTCTACGCAACCAAACGACCGATTCCCAACAATCCCAACTCCAAACTATCTTTAAAGCCTCACAAATGGCACGAAACAGCATCAGTAACTCCTACATACTCGCCAAACCGTACACAACGACATACTGTTCACCGTGAGCTTTCGAAAACCACAGTCACCAGAATAACCTGCCTAAAACCTATACTGCCCATGCGTCCTTAACTAAATATATCAGCGAGATGTTGTGCTCCTTTGTCTCCGATTTGATTGTCAAAGAGATTGAGTGTGGTGAGTGTCTGTGTGAAAAAGGGCAGATGGGTATATGAGAGAGATGAAGAGAGAATGAGGGTCACGGTATTCTGTCGTAATACATCAGCCAGATGCTGTAGGTGTAGGTGTGGATGTGTAGGTGTAGGTGTAGTTTTTCTCCTTAATTGAACTCACAGTCGCACTTCAGTGAATCAATGGTCTCAAAATAACCATCTTGTTGATGCTCAGAATTCACGAAAATTTTGAGACAGTAATCTTCAGTTATGTATTTGATAAAAGATGCCGCAATGAATAGTTTGAGGCAAAACTAGGCGTCTTAATTATTATAAATACAAGTATGTTTTGCATGTAATGTACATGTACTGAAAAAATAATAATAGAATTTTTATTGTTATAGGTTTTACGATTTGTAATAGTTATTGTTGATAATGTTCGACATGAAGATGATAAATGGAAACGGCTTTCATGGTAAATCATCGATGTTCTTCTTGCTCATTTACATTCACATATTATTATTGGTTGATCTATGGTTATTTTTCTTTTTTAGTAATCTTCGATTATACGTTAATTTTTCTTTTCAAATAGGCTCAATCGCTTTTGGATATTTATTCCATACAATTAACACTATTTGATGTTACATCATCAGTTGCGTTACAGTTAATTGATCCATTCGTTGTTGCTTTTTGAACATTAGTAAATAGAAATGCTCGTTGGTTTTACTTATGAAATTTTCCTGTAGTTTAAAAAGTTTTTCTTAGCATGCCAACTGTCAATCTACAAATCGATGTTTAATCAATAGAAATATAATGCTTCGATGTCTTGTACAAAATTTAGCTGAAGATGCTATATTAACACGATGGAATGTCATTTTATCATTAGTGAATGGAACACGAGGTGAAACGTTTAGCCTGTAACTATTTGAAAGGATTTTATTTGTAATTTAATAACTGCTATTCTCGTTTTTCTTTTTAGAATTCTTCTTCGAATTTTAACTAATACTCAACAATTACCTGATCAAATCGATATGAGATTAGTTTCTCTTGTATTCGATTATCTTCATGTATTTATGCATATTATGGAAAATGGTAATCAGTCAAAATAATCATGTATTTATAGACATGAATACGATAGTCTAGCAATTATTATTAATTTAAAAATTTAGGTTTGAAACTTTAGGAATAAGAAACTAACTGAACGGGTAAAAACTGATTTCTATCAAAGTCAAAAGAGCTTAAGCTTTGGTGATAATCTATATGATAGTAACATATCATCCATTAATTTGAACATAAAACTTTCCTTCAATTCATTAATTCCTAACGAACTTGCGAAAAACATTCGAGTTTAAAATTTCTATGCTTATATAAGATCTATGATTTTATTTTAGCTAAACAATTTCGAACAATGGTAAATGATTTTCGTCAATTATGAATTCTTGATGAAACGATACATCGTCTTGATACATTTTCACACTTAATTATTTTAAGTGAATATTTTAAATTATTATTACAATGAATACATATTCTTAATATGCTTGATTATACACAAGAAACATGATGGTCACCAATAGTAACACTATCGTGATTAATAATACATTTATCTATAAGTGATCAATTACAATCTTATTGTGGTTTAATATATTATCATGAATTATATGTTAAATATCGAACATCAATAATAACACATTATCAATTATTCTTTTTTTTTTTGAACAACATGATATTTGTACATAATTTATTTGGTTTTATACATCATACATAAGTTGCAAATTATTTATTCGTTTATGAAGAAATACATTTAGATGAAAACGGTCTTGTTTTAGTGTTATTAATTGAACAATTTACTTCATTATCATATATATATCAGTATTACATTTAGATGAATTAATTGTTTATGATCGTATCGAAATCATGTTAATACTTCATCAACAAAACATTAAATAAACAATTATTATCTCAATATTTACCATTAATTTTATAAATATTATCAATACCAAAATCAATCGATATTATTAAAGAAGATTTTAATAATCTTAATTGTCCTATGGATATAACACAAAAAATTGATGCACAAATGCTTAAAAATGTAACTTATAAAAAATTATTACCATTTATGATGTTATGGGTATGTTTTAGTATGATTTATCGAAATAAATAAATAAATAAATATATATAATAAAAATTTCATTCCAATT